GAAGAGGAAGGCAGACATTCTGCCCCTTCCCTAACAGTTTATTCCTAAATATCTTAACTTTTTTGTTGTTGTTGTTGTTGTTGTTGTTGTACAATGTCACCAAAAGTTGGGGACAAATGACAAAAATAAATATGTTTTAATTGCTTTAGCTTAGATTGATATTCTAACCCAAGTGTAGTGGAGTCTTTCAGTGCATAAAAACTTAACAGTGCTGTAGGTGATAAGCAAATGGATAAAGGTCGAAATATATTTCAACAACTTTTTAGTAATTTAATCTATCCCCCCACCACACACACACACACACACACACACACATAAAATAAAGATGACAAACAATGAGGGTCTGCTGAAAATGTTTAATTTATCAGTAATATGTAAATGATTACATGAACAGCTTCATAATCAGCTGTAAGGCCTCTATTTGCTCCAATATCTAAATACAACACCTGATCAAGATGTAATCCAGCAATCAACATTCTAGAAAAATTATGTAATCATTTTACAAAGTTTGTATTTTAGCAGTGCATATAACAGAATCATTAATGATTTCAGGTTTCAGGAATTTTTGAATTTGCTTTGAAATAGCTGTATTTCAAGTTTCTTTTCTGTAGGTAGTTAAAACAGTTTATCTTCTCTGACCCTCATATCAGCAGGTTTTTAATGTGGGATTCCTCTTTTGACAGGATCTTGCTTTCTTTCTGTGCCTGGGGTGAAATAAAATTTAGTTAAAAGTAGTCTTAAATGTGAACTTTTTCAACACATAATGTACTTATATTTGCATGCACTATAACTGTATTGCCTGCAATGGCGTATAATATAGCCACTGTATCATATATTGTGAGCTGATAATTTGTGAAATACTAGCTTCCAGGTAGACTTATGATTTGCCTCTTGACTATCCAGCTTATAGGGTCTCGATTTCAATTTGTTGAACAGACCCCAGTAGAGACAGAGATGTTTTTCTTTGTGAAACACTTACGCAAGGGAAATATAACTGCACATTTGGCCATTTACTAGTAAATTCAAGTTTTTTTTTTTTTGTGAAACATTAACGTGAAAAGACACAAAATGCAACTATCACAAGCATTATAAATATATCTACTTTGACAAGTTGATTGAACTGGATAAAAAAATGATCATGAATTGATATTCTGCTTACCTAAACACAAGTGTCACCAATTTGGATGAAACCGTCATTACAAGTACACTCACAGACTGTGTAATAATAAATTCTGCCCCAATAGTAGCAAGATTTATATTGCCGCAAGCAAGTCGCATCAGGTTGGATATCACATTGAGCTGAAAAAAAAAATGCTCATTATAAAAACAGGAAAGTTTTGTTCTAGCCCAGTTTCTCAAATGTAAAACCAGTCTTTAAGTTGAACCAATTTTGATCAGTTTCAATCACAAAAAAAAAAAAAAAAAAAAAAAATATTCCATTAAAATGTTTCAGTAATTGTTGTTCATGGAATTTTATCCTTTTTTTTTCTTACTTGCAAAATAGGTTCAATACTGCCTTTTAATTGGACTATTACTGATTTGTGGAAGAAAAGGGAAGACAAGAATATTTGATTTTCTTTTACAATTGTTGGTACCCGTGTGTAGACTGAAATGTTGCATTTGATCAGTTGTTTTATAAACATCGGCCATAGGCAAAGGAAATTTAATTACTTAAAAGTGATCATATCTGCAGGAAGAGAGGGGAAAGCCCCCCCCTTCCAAAAATGTAATTCTTAGGCACCTGTTGTATGTATGGCACAGTTAAGTCTTAAAATCCTAATTAGCCAATTATATCACTGCCTCTATTGTGATTAAATTGGAAATAAGCCAGAAATTCCTTAAATAAACTTACTCAGTTGGCAGTTAGTCCCGGCGTAGGCTGGAGGGCATTGACAACTGTAGCCAGTGGTTAGTACCGTGCAGTTGCCTCCATTTTGACATGGGCCAGAGGCGCATGGATTTATAGCTGTTTGAAAACAAAAAAAAAAAAAAAAAAAAAAAAAAAAAGATGTAGCAGACATTTTATAGAATCTTGCTGAAAATAAGTTCCAGTACCTGAAAATTTTTTTTCTTTTCGAGGAAAACTATTTATTGCTGTTATAATATTTATATGAATGTCTAACATGTATTGTAAGCCACATTTAATTTACCTGTGCAGTACCCAGCAGTTCCAGTAAACCCAGGATTGCAGGTACATGAACAGGTGTAGTAGTAATAGTAGTAGCCGTAATAGTATCTGCATCTGTATACCAATCGGCATGATGCATTAGGGTCGTTATTGGGTACCGTGCACGTGGTCTGGGCATTTTTTGGGAAGAAACCTAAAAAGATTTTTAAAAATGACAAAAAATAAGCCAGTAAATAATGATATTGAGTATTGATCAGAGAAGAAACAGTTAGTCAGAACTGAAAATGCAAAATGAGAATGGCAATCCAGCAATGCAGCTGTACTGTAGGGGAAAAAACTTGGACCAGTGATTTTTGCTATTATGATCAATGACTTCAGAACCGAATGTGACTCTTTAAAATATGTAGATGACACCACTATTTCTAAATATGGAAAAGTCCGAAAAAAGGGCAGCTTGCCTCCTACCTTCAGCAGCACATCTCACTCTTTATTCTAGTGATAACAACTTAACAATAAATGCTGGCAAAACCAATTTGAAAGAACCGATGTTTAACTTTTTAAGAGATGATCACAATAATTAAAGCACCTTCATAACATACCACTGCCCCTTAAGAGCTTTTTGAGACATTTTGTTATCAAACAAACAAAGAAACAAACAAACAAACAAACAAACACAACAATGTGATGAAGGCATAAGGTCTTTCATTGGCATATCTAAGAATAATAATGAAATTTAGCAAATTGCCTTTTACAACTTTGTGTTATGAGTGACATGTACTTACCTAAGACCATCAGGCTGCACAGGAACAGTGCTTTCAACATTTTCTTCAGCTTTAATTTAGACTTGAAGATTTTCTAGGTTAAACAAACCCACTGTGTTTGGACCTCGTTAAAAGCGGTATCTTTCTTCAAAGCAGCGAAGAAATACAGTGATAACTTAAGTTCAGCTGATGAGAAGTTATACCAAATTTGTCCAATGAGCACACTTTGATTCATTTTAAAATTAAAACTGACACCTCTGACACATCCTTCTCCAAAACTTGAATATATGTATATCGATGTATTCAAATACCCATATATTTGTCAGCTTATATTCCAAAACATCCTAAACCGTAGGCACAAACGAAAACTAGAAAAAAGTTGAAAAAGTTATAGACAACAAGAAAATACATCTATTCCAAAGAGAGAAAAAAATATGTTGTAAGTTGGCAAGAAAGATTCAGAAGATTGCTGAAATTGACTGAATTTATCGATTATGCTTGTTTTGATAAAATTGGTCTCTTTGAGGTCACAGTCCGTCACTTAATTCAGCCATACTGTTAAGGGGGCCGAGTTTTCAGTAACCCCTAAGAATCTGGGCATCCCTGTAGAATTTAGGGGATTGTAGCAGAGTGTTACGCACACTCAATCACTTGTAACACTTCAGGCCCGTAACCATGGGGGGTTCGGGGGGTTCGAAAGAACCACCCTTTTTGCTGGGAAAAGGTCCACTCTGGGTAAAATCTGATCTATGTACTGGTAAAAGGTCCACTTTTTCTGAAAACGAACCCCCCCTCTGAAATTGCTGGCTACGGGCCTGCACTTATAAGTGAATGTGTATCCAAGATTATATTTTACCATATTGAATGTGTACATTGTGAAAGGGTTTTTTCATAGTCTCTAGATAGGATTCTGTATTAAGCTTCTAAGATACTGAAATAGAATTATTCTTTGCTTATAGAGCCTTAATAATAGGAGTCAAACACAACGTTTCAATCAGTTTCCCTTATAATTAGCTGCATGATAGTCAGACTATAACTCTCAGCAAAAATTTAAATAATGCCCTCTTCATTTTCATATTACAAAGATTTTGGTATCATTTAATAATTATGGATAACAGATGTTCCTTCGTTGCTTGAAAAGGGGTGGGTGGGTGGGGCCTGCTCTGTGTGTGTGTGTGTGTGAGTGTGTGTGTGTGTTTAATGACAGTATGCATTCATACCAATTGTAATGGTGAATTCATTGTGTACTTATTGGGGCCGGAGGGGGGTGGGGGGGGGGGTAGAAGGAGATTAAATAATTCATGCCCCTGAAAGCCATTTTAAAGAGGTACTTTATGCCAATATTTGGCACAATTGACCAGGAATATTTTAAATGTTAGTGAAAAGGTTTGGGTGAATTTTTGAACCCTCTTTTAAAGACACTGAAAGCTCACCTCTATATATTTTCAGCCTGACTCTGTGTTTTCATGTAGTATATTCTTTTCAGAGAATGAAAACTGCAGGGGCACGCTGATAATGTATAGCAGTGAGTTCTCAGTGTGTATAGCTCTGAAAGCCTGGGTGCAGTGTTCGAAATTAACGCTGGACCGTCTGCCCGGTGTTGACAACTTTCAGAACGGGCCAAGAAGTTTTCCCACCTGGCAGACATTCAGTCCAGCTACTTTTCAAGATGGCTGGATCTTCTGTCCAGCAACTAATTTTCCTAAGAGGCAAACACTGCCTGGGTGCATTCATGTTAATCTCACTAAATGTTTTGTTGTTGTCAGGACAAAAGGTATGCTGATTCTCTTGTGTTGTTGTAGGTATTTGGGACGAAAGGTATGCTGGTCTCGGAGAATCAGAGGTGCACCGGTGTCCAGCATTCCTGCACCACAGGCACCAGTTTGGCTCCTATGCACTTCTCTTTCCCACAGAGATATGCTGACAGTTACGTGCTGGCTATGGAACATTTTCTTAATGTTATGGAAGGTAAGATTGTGTGTTTCCATGAGAAAGAACAAAGAAAGTATATACATAATGGAAAAAAAAAATAAATAAAAATAATGATAAACAAATTAAATGAATTAATAAAATAAGATTGTATGGTCCCATGAGAAAGAACAAAAAAGTATATAACCAGTATAATGAAAAGAAATGGAGAATGATCAATAAACAAATTATATCAATTATTGAAATAAGATTGTATGTTCCCATAAAATAAAACAAATATGAAAAAAAATATATACATAAAAATCATAATGATAATAAAATATATAAATTAATAAAATAAAAAGTCAAAATATGCTTTATGTCAATGTTACTCATGTGCAAAGAACACGACAGCACAGCTTCTCAAAATAATTTGAATCAAAATTTAGTTTCAGTATTGTCAAAAGACCAAAATATATGATATCCATTCCAATCTGTAGTAGTGAACCAAAACATTGGCCATTCGTATTTTTTTCTTTGAACCATTGCCGTTATGGACCATGTTATATATTTGCTAGGTGAAGCCAGCCAAAATATTTTGCCCCATTTAAAATACCATGCTTTACAGGTGAATAAAAAAGGTTTAACCTCCCGTTTTAAGTGTTTATGTTTGTTGGAATGTTTCAGTAGGAAACCAGGAGTCGATGTATAGGTAATGTAGGTCACCTATTTTTTAAGGGATATTATATCAAGTTGCCACATTGGCGCAGCATACGGACTTATGGTGACTTTGTATAACATAGCCCGTTGTAGACCTATCTCTCTGCTTTACAATTCACGTGCAACTAAAGGAACACTGCATTTTGAAATTCAGATGTATTTGCATTTTCTCTCAGAGCATGATATTATTTATTTATTTATTTAATTATTTATTTTATATTTTTGGACCAAACAAGTAACTAAATTTGTGAGGCTAATTAAGAAATGGATGGTTGATATTTAACCCAAGTCCAAAGATACCCTCATGCTATTTGTATCATTTATTGAGATATTATCATGTTCATTGGCACAGGAATACAAATATTACTAGAGAATACTTTGTATGTAAAAGCCATGCGCCAGAGTTGGTCATTTTTCATGCAACAACTATCTGGAAATCTTAATCTTTTTCAACTTGTCCATGTCCTGCTGAGATTGTACGATTTTTGATTTTGTTCTCAGATGATTTCTAGTACCGTGACCTCTTTGTCTGTATTGGTTACACTTAGGTGAGCATTTATAATGCAAGCTATTTCTACAGGTTTTATCAGTTTGTTTCTATTTCTTCGCATTTTTCATTCTATATCTGAAATTGTCTTGTGTTTCAATTAATAATTAGTTTTTTATGTAAAAATTAAAAAATGAAAATGATCACTCTGTATTAATTGACACACAAATTATGTCCACTGTTTTTTATGCCGATCTTTAAAATGCTGAATATTGTGTTACGAGGCAAATGGTGATCATTAATAATGACGTCAAAGAAATAATCCTAGAAACGAAGGCAGTGTTTGGAAAGAACCAGTAAAGGGGCTGTCACAGTGAAAGTCGAAGATAACTAGAGTAGGAACAAGTCTGAACAGAATGTTAAAGTACCACAAAAACATCTATTGTAATTCAATATCAATAATCCTATATAACTACAACGATGTACAAGGAACTGATATGTACAATGCTAGCTTACACTGGTTACATTTCCCATAATGCATCACAGTGGCTGGTCACTATAATTATGCAGATATATTGACTTCTAAAGGCATGTTGACTATTGATTATTTGCAACTCTTGCTAACAGAATGAAGGACACCAACTGGTGGAAAGGACTGCTGCAATTATGGTGGCAAGGGGAACAATTTCAGGACCATTTCTTTATGCAAAAGCTGGGCAGAATTTAGCTAGACAATTTATGAATCAATTTGTGCATCAACATTGAACTCGTAAAGAAAGGCCGCATTCAGAATTGTGGACTAGCTAGCTCGAGGGTCAAATATGGTCGACCCACTTGAATACTTCCCCAGTGTCTATTAACGGATTAGATGGCAAGGTTTCTAGTGGGTCGCCATATTTGACCCGCAGATTTGTTAGTCCGCTGTTCTGAATGCTGCCAAACTTGGTGCTAGCTCTGGGCATCTCATCTTGCATGAAGTCCATGGTACAGCAGTACTTTATGATATCACAAAAGTCAAAGTAGTGCAGCCTGTTAAAAAATTGAAAAGACCCCTGGGAGGTCCCAGATGAGTAGTCGCCTCTTAAACAACTATCCCGTCCCTTACACAGTGGCACAGGAGCATAGAGACGGATAATGTTAGGGTCACAGCTAGACATAAGAGTAAGTCCATGCAACCCAATGTTACAGGAATTAAAATATTACACAACAAAGGGATATCATAGGCGCTACTCAACATCCAGGTATGAAATAAATTTCAAGAGAAATACAAAGGGTAAGTCTGTGGAGGAAAGAGCTCCTCTTGATCCTCTCAGATTTCACATGGGTCTTTTCTGCAATATTGCAACTGACTAGCAGTGACCCCTATGGTCAGGAAGTGTGACAACACTGACATGCATCAAAACCCAATTCTTTAGTAAGGAAAACATTTTTTGTTCCTCTGTTATGTTCATACAATAAGTTCTGATCAAATACCAGTTGTTTTTTTTTCTTGCAAAGTCAGAAGGTTGAGGAATCTGGGAAAAATGGTTAAATAATTTACATTTGCATTAGCCAAGATGCTAGATTTGATAAAACCAAACATCAGTAATGGTTTGCTTTGATGTAAAACTAGCAGTTCTTCTGAAAATGGTGAAAAGAATAAAACCACATCAATCACGTTAAATTAAACAGACACAGTCAATATTTCCCATAGAAAAAACCCAGCTGGTGCTTTTAAACCATTTAATCACTCATTTTAAATCAGATTAGTACAAGCGCACTCAAGAAAACAGCGGTCTATAATTGGGATTCCTATACATTAGTACCGCAATACTAATGATTCATACAGACCTGCTCTGGCCAGCAATTTAACAGATTGGCCTGTCTTTTTATCCACCCGCCCCTTTTTTCAAGGAACACTTTATATGCACCCTTTGAAGAGATGAAAAAAAAATGTTTGGAACTCTGAAATCCTATTTAATTTCATACTCTTGGTGATTCCTTTTTAATCTGGGAAAAATGTAAGTGAAGCTAGAAGTAGAACACTCCCAATAAATAGGAAGGTCATGCACTGCACTCATACTAACATACTGGGTTCAGAATGCCCAAAACCTCCATCTTTTTTATCAGAAATGTTCAGTTGCCCTCCCCCTACTAATATCATGCATCAGCTGCCAGTGAACTAATGATAAGACTTTTAGAAGGCTTACAATTGGGAAACAAGTGGAACAGCATCTTATGCTTATTGCATGCAGTAATATGACACAAGTTTCATAGTCAAATTGTCACAAATATATATCCAATCAAGCTTGGAAGGAGTGGATCCAAGTATTTTTTATTATAAGTCAAGCTGCTGGCTCCAGTTAGCAATCCTCCTACATAGATTTACAGTATACGGTGTTAAATAAGAAACGTCACACTTGTGAATAATAACACTATCTCTTTTCATCAAAACAATAATAATAATAATAATAATAATAATAACAATCAAGTCCATTAAGTACACATCTACAAGAGGATTCTGTATAAAAATTGTTATTATCTGTCATCCTGCTTGGGGGGAATAGTTACAAGCAGTTTGGGATTCCAATTTCCATGTTTCATAAAAAAAAGCATCTCAATAGATGACAGAAGTTTTTTTCCTCAGACAAGTCACGATACAGATAATACAGTCAGTCTTTCATTTCTGAATTTTTTTAAAGTTCGGTTACGAGTCCTCCGGTTTCCCCGATGTCTCTAAATCTTCAACTTGCTCCTGTCCTTGCCCCTGCTCGTCTGCTTGCATGTCCGACGTCCACAGTGTCAAGTTGTCCCGGAGTAACTGCAGTATGAGCGTGGAATCCTTGTAACTTTCATCGTTCAAGCTGTCCAGCTCTGCTATGGCGTCATCGAAAGCTAATTTGGCTATTTGACATGCCTTGTCCGGGGCGCCCAGGATCTCGTAGTAGAACACGGAGAAGTTCAGGGCCAGGCCGAGGCGTATTGGATGCGTAGTCGCCAGGTCAACTTTGGCGGTTGTGGTGGCAGAATCATAGGCGATCAGACTTTTTTCCGCAGCTTCCTTTCTCTGTGCGCCCGTTGCAAACTCGGCAAGGTATCGATAATAATCACCCTTCATTTTGTAATAGAAAACTTTCGATTCTCCGCTGCCCGCTGAAGGGATGAGGTGTTCGTCCAACACGCTTAAAATATCATTACAGATATCTTTTAGTTCATTTTCCACGGTCAGTCTGTAATCCTTTATCATTGGTAGTTTCTTGGGATCATCAGCTTGAGCTTGCTTTGTTTCTATACTGCTAATAATTCGCCAAGATGCCCTTCTTGCACCAATTACATTCTTGTAAGCTACAGACAGGAGGTTTCTCTCTTCTATCGTCAGATCAATATTCTGCTGGGCAACTATCTTCATCTCCTCCACCATTTCATCGTACCTCTCAGCCTGCTCAGCTAGCTTGGCGCGGTAAACACGATCCTCTCTGTCTACCATGTTCGCTAGGTTTATGGAGCCGGACGATCAGAAATATTATTAATTGTTTACCGCTTCTGGAAATAAAGAACAAGATGGCCGCGCCCGCCAACAGGTTACCTCGATCAGTAATGGAATGTGTCACGTGATGCTGAGCCGCCAATGAGAAATCTGTAAATATTGCACTCCGTTATAGGCATATACATATTTTGTCGCTTATTATGATTAATTAGATATTATGTTAAGTTTGTATGTGTTTCATTCATAGTTTCAATAGGTTTGGCCTTGAATTTTAGGGTGCAATAATCCAATCAAACAAACTTGATGTTCAAAAACAGGTTACACGTTAGTTACTAGGGAAAGTTGACACTTTTTTCCAAGTATCTCCCTCCCCCCACCGCATGACCCTTTGATTTTCAATATCTTTTCTCAATTAATATGTGTAGTGACTTTGAGCAACGTCTCAAGTATTCAAATAATTTAGTTTTGCCATTCATTTACTGAATTATCGATGTATTTTACATGAAATTTATGCGATCCAAATACTGCGAAAGCCGGCTCATTGCTGGGGTGAAAATTTGCTGCTATCTCATTGGTCAAAGAGCTTGAAGATTAAAAAAAAATTAGTCAGTGAATTCCCAATTTAATCTACATCCTTCTGAATAGTAAGGAAATTCATCAAAGTCAACACATAACTTAATTTGGATTAGCATTAAAAATTAGAGAGTTATTTAAAGGGAAGTGATCAAATTAATTAGAGCCAATTAATTTGGTGTGGCATAAAAAAAAGAAAGAAGAAGAAAAAAAGTTAATCTAGCTAGATCTTTACCTATAATGTATAAATAGGATAGTATTTCGACCCAATTGTTTTGTGAGAAGAGTCCACATTGATTAGTTGAGAAGTAACATCTAACTTAATTTTTTTTGCCTTGAAATGGTGAGTTGGAAAACTGCCAAAATACACTGTGGAAATTGGCAGAACAGTCAATAACTGATTCATCTGTCATAGAAAGGATCCTTTATACACTTGCTCAATTGAAATATGTATGTCGCTTGAAAGGGTGAATTAAATTACCACCCTTCCAGACCAGAAATGTTGTGACAGCTAGCAACCAAGTACCCCCAGTATGCATAATATAGCATATATATGTGCAGCCAGTGTGTGCACTTTACACATACCCTTAAAAAATTAGCAAAATAAAAAAATTGCGGCAACCAGTTTACAGAAGTTTGCAAGAAAAATTGTATTAATTGCTGCTTATTTGCAGCAAATTTGCAAGAACATCTGAAGTTTGCAGCAGGTTTGCAAGAAAGCACGAATTCTTGCAAATTAGCTGTAAATTATCAGCAAGTTCAGGAGAGAGTTAATATTGAGGCAGCTAGGCCTGATATATACTTTGTGAAGGGTAGCTTACCATGCAGATCATGCAGTAAGTAATTAAAGCCCCTAGTACAGCTGCAATCAGTGACAATACCTGTGGAGTTCATAAGGGCCCATGTGTTACCTGACAATTAACACTTTGGGAATGCACCCTATATAATTTACAAGAATGGTTCTTGAATAATGACCACGTATGATACTGAACAAATTGGAAAACCAGCTTAATTGACTTAATTATTTTTCTTTAAGTTAAACTTTAAAATCCCATATTGGACTGAATTAATTAAACCTTATCGATGTTAGTTACCGTGTACATTTCCTGAATGTCTACATATTACCTACAGTACATAATTAGATATTGATAGTGCTTATGGTGTTTATCATCATGTAATATACTGCATCAAAATTGACAAAAACTAGATATAGCTGCTTCAATAGCATTAATACAAAAATTAAAGAAAATAAACCGCATGCATTACTTTTTTTAACTAAAAGAATCATGCTAGTGCAGTACTGCAAGTTGGAAATTATTAGCTTGATTGAATTATTAATTTTAAGTTACAAATTTTTTATGAAAAAAATTTTTTTTTTCACGTATATATATATTGGCATTTTCAGTGTGTGGAAGCTTGGCTTTGAAATCTCATTTGCTTGAATTTCCATAAGTTACCTGTAGCACATAATTAAAATTTTGTGGTGATTAAATGCTGTCAAGTATATATAATACTGTAATTAAATAATGAACATACCCTTTAATAAATATGCTTTTGTGTTATGTCCGTTGAGATCCCACAGAATGAAAATATTTCATGTAACTTTCTGTATTTTCTAGAAAAAGAAGCTATGGAAATCACAAAAGAATCTACTCTGACCATCAGCAAGATAGCAACAGCGTGTGAGGAGTCCTACAAGTTGGGCAAACCTGTGGAACTGTTTCTTACTCAGCCAGAGGGACCAACTTTGAAGTCTGACACCAATGGTGAAATGGTGACCGCTTGAATGGTGATAGCTTTAGTTGGGAAAATATATGAATGTGAATCGCTACACGCACATTATAGACAGTAATGACTGATTGGTAAATACCAATTATACATCATTGGGTTTTTTTTTATAATCAGGTCATTAGTATATATATGCTTCAATACTTGTCAAATTCAGAACTTGTGTCCATGAGCAGAGCTGATGTTTTCTGTCTATTTTGAGTTTTCTAGTAGGTTATTTTCTGGTGCTAAGTGAGAATTTAAAAAATTGCAGATATTAAAAAAATAATAATAATAAAATTGTTTTGTCATGGCTGAAAGTATGGCTTACACAGAATTCTTTTGTTTCATTTTGCTAGGGAAAGTATACTAGTAAGTAAAGGTGAGGTTCAAAGTATTAGAATATTTTAATCATGTGTCTTTTCATTTTTCTAAATTTTTATTTGGCTAACAAATGTAGTGGTAGCTAGGGAGAGTAACCCCTACTCATTTTCCATGGAAGTGTTAAATAACTATAATTTGTTGCCCTACGTTTTGTCCCACAATAAATGTTCACAGTTGATATTTAAACCAAGCTATCATATTTGACTATAGCTTGCACCTTTCCAGACACATTGCATGTCAGTATTTAGGTAACACCTGTTTAACAAGTATTACTTGATCGAAAACCTTTTTCTGTTTACAGCAGGTTATGGTTTATTTTAAACAGTTATACATTAGGTAGATTATTATGATGATGATGATGATGATTTTTACATGTTATTCAAGTAATGTCATTCTAGCATTCCAGTTGTTTTTCTCTCTCTCTCTGCTCATAAAACAAGAATTATTATCAGAAAATTCATTTACACTAAATACTTAATGGACATCTTAGAGTTATATGTATTATATTCCTTCAGTTTTATATTTATAGAAGGCATATTGGGAATTGAAAATAAACATTAATATTTAATATTAACAGAAATTGGAATTTGTCAAACAGGATAAAATAACCATTATATTTATTATTTCAATGTCGTGAATTATTAATTACTGGTACAGTGCCCGGATACAAAATCATAATCTGATCTTATTCTCTAATATAATAAATAACATCAATATTGTTACTCTAATTTTTATAATAAAACATTTCATCCAGATTTAGTTTCTCATGAAGATTGAAAATTATATTTTCCATTACTTCATGTTAGTATTTTGTCATTGATTACATGTGGAAGAACACCGTCTTTCTTTATTTCTTTCAAGTTGGATCAAAATTTTGCAGGCAGACAAGTCTTGATGGTTCTAACTTCTCTCTGCATAGGGGGCACTCCAGCTGAAAATAAAGAGTTGAGGACAAAGTATGTAAAATATTGACACAAAATTATCCACGCGCAGTAACCAAAATTACAGGTGACTAATTAAATGCCCCCAACAATGTGATGACAAAACTATCGATAGAAAAGGACCAATTAAAGCAACCAATGTAGTCCCATTAATCTTGTTAAAATATTAATTCATTACTTTACAGTATGTAAAACATTCAGATGAAATATTTACTAATTTACTCCTGTAAACGTGATTAAAAAAGTATTTAAAAAAAAAAAAAAAACTAACCTTGGACTCACACCATTCTAGAATACAGTCCCAGCAAAATAAGTGACCACAAGGTGTTGCTGTAGAATGCTTTCTGGACTCTAAGCACAAAGAGCAGCGAGACCCTGGACTCACATAAGACTCACTGTGAGAACTAGGAAGTAATAAAAAAGATTTTAAAGATGTTAAAAAAACAACAGATTTTGAAGGTGAAGATAAAAAAACGAAGAATGTAAGTAGTCAAAAGATCATTGCATGTAATTTTCTCATTTAAATTGTTACTGTTACTGTACTATCTTTTTAGAGTTTTATGGTGGGGCAATATTAGAATGGAAGCCTTTTTTTTCCATCGTAAAAACCTCGCATGCAGAGAGAGGGAAGTGGAAGGTTCCTTCTGGGGGGGGTAATCTGCTGTGCCCACCAATGGATCTGCCACAGCTGTTTATCTTTTTCACAGCTTTCTTGCTTACCTTGCCGTCACTTGTTCTTTCTCCTCTTCCTCATCTCTTTTGCCATCTGTTGTTGTTGATGTTGCCATGGACACTGCATCCCATCCATGTTTACCCACAGAGTATGTCAACTGTATAAGGCTCAGCCAGCCAAGAATGCTATAACTGGCCCTGGGAGACCCAGGATCTGAGGGGGAACTACTGACACGCAGCTGGAAAAAAACATTATTAAAATCAATTAAGTGTTGCATTTTGTGCAGAGTTTTAGAGAAGTGGAAGGTCAAAAGTACAAGATGCGATGAAATAGACAGTCTAGTGTAATAGACCTCGCCTAGGGGTTCTACTTCTAGGCTCTTTTCACACCTATATGTGTGTGTATTATACAACACAGTCTGTATCAGTTTACTTTGAGAGATTACCAACTTATTTGCCTGCCTTTTACTTATAAGAGAGTCACAGATTCTGAAGTAGAGCCTCCATACTTGACATGGACAATTAAATCGTAACTCAATAATTACTGGATCTTTGTGAATTTTACAGATGCTGTATTTTTAAGTCAGAATTTCTTAAAATAAGAACATTCCTTCTGAGTGACAACAACAAAATTAAAAAGGCTACTCTATATAGTTCTATTCCATGCAGCTAAAGCACCACAAATGCTATATGGAAATATAATTATTGGATTATAAAATTATGTATCAGAAAGCTTGATAAATTTTGCCCAATAAAAAAATGGAGTAATTGCCCAGAAATTGTGGAGAATTTGTACATGTTAGTCCACAGATACAGACTGGATCGTTGTAGCACACTACACCATTCAACAAAGTAGAAATTAAGGGCCATATACAAGCTCTGAAGGGGTACGTTGAAGTTTAACACTTACATATCTAATTCCTGTTACTCTCTTGGATACATTATAATAGACACCCTGGAGATAAAATAAAGCCAGATGACTTCTGTGAATGTATGGGATGACAGCTCTGCATGTCTTCACAACCTTAAGCAACAGCACCCTGAATCTCTGGCTTAGTTCCCATGTGTTGGAATGGAGTTTCATCTCAAGGAACGTGAAGAGTTTCTGCAGGAGGTATGGGGTGCACACCTGAAGGAGGATCATTAGCCCTCGTCTCTGGGGGAAAAAAAACGTTTCAAATTATATTTGAATAAATTAGAGAGCGTTTAAAAAAGTGTTGAATGATAGTAACTGCACATGGAGAAAATTTGTCAAAACTCTGAGAAATAATTTGAAAAATCGTAACTGAATGATTTCCAGAGTTTTTAAGAAGTACATTTATAAACAAAGCTAGAAAATTTATCTGTATGAATTCTAATGAGTAATGTAGACATTTTGAATAAGAAAGACATTTTGAATAAGAAATTTGTCTGATTTATTAAGATGATTACTATTTATAAAAGCATTCTTTAAGGCCTTGAGATTTCAACTTTTTAATCAATTCACTTCTTCTTTGAGCAAATATGTTGTAAGTAACAGCCCATCAGAAACACTAACTACCAGTTATCTACCAGGGGAAGTTATCAGCACAAAAAAATAAAAAAATTTTTTTCGTTGAAAACTAATTAAAAATCAGTACGTATAGGGATGAGTACTAGTAAACAGTTAATACAATTACAAGGCAACAATTGACTTATTGGAGGTTATTATATTATAACATACATGCTTTTGAATCCTGGAATGGGGGAAGCATGCTATATATATATATATATATATATATATATATACCATTTCCTGGATCTGCTATTACTGTATTTTCTTACAATAACATTACACATACCAATTTGGACGGAATTGACCGTTTGGACTGGTCAACTTGCAAGATGCTGACATATTCTTCACCAAGCGTCTGGTAATCTGCCAGCGTGGTCAGTGCCAGGTAGCCCACACTGGCCAGAAAGTCCAGTTCTACTTTCCACCTAAGCCATCGTCTGGCACCTTTAACATCAAATAATTGCCATGATCAAAGTTAGTATATATATCTACTGCTCAGTTAATAGCTTGGTAGTGATTAGGAATTGTTTACCTCCAATTTCCTGATTAAATGTATCTGGTATATACCCCAAAGACTTTTTACATCTATTTTATTTTCACATTGTTTTAGTATGTCATTCCAGATCCTATAATTATTGCTTTGAAGCTGAATTTTTCTCCAGACAGTACATATCCAGACATGATCCTTTATTTCAGTTTTAAAGTGTTGACAGTTCAGTTGATGTATGCCTGCCACATACTACCAATAGTCTAATACTGCCTGGAAGAAGACTATGCGGACCTGAGGACAGTCATATTAGCAAGAGTAACATCCCTTTAGTCCCCTCCCCCGCACCTCTTGCTCCAGTTTTTCAGCCTGACAAGCTAGGTGCACGCCACTGGTAGCCTGTAAGGCCGAAAACTGAGGCATCGCCCCCTTTCAGATGCTACAATATTTACTAGTTTGTCCAAGAAATAAATGTGTAAATACCCCAAACAGACTGCACAACGTCTGCAAGTGTATTCTTCAAATACTGGAGGTAAAAATTGTCCTTCTGATTTGACCTGACGATTTCTGCAGCCCCCGCATCAGATGGCATTTCTTTTTTATGTACAAACGAAACGTGAAGTCAAGTAAAGGAAACTACTCTTTAGTAAATGGAGTACACAACCGGTCTTTCCTCCAACCAGTAATAGCTTGTTGAGGTCAAAACAAATTATAATGTTTGTGTTTTAAATGAACAGGCCCCACAAACACAAGAACGGGTCCCACAAACACCACACTTTATTAAGAATGCTCCTATATCTATATATTATACAGTAAATTTTGAAAATACACATTATTTCATAGTTTGAGTGCATAGTTTATCAGACAGGTAAGCATCGATGAACAGGTGTTACCTTTTTACTTTATATGTGACTATTGTTAGACTGCAGTCGAACGTTCGGGTAGTTTTACTTTTTTTTCACAAGCTTTCTGAGGGGTTTAATTCTTTCAGCTTTTTATTGAAAGATGAGTGAACTCACTCCAGATGAGGTAAGGTTTGAGTACTCTTTCCCTCCGATTGATTTTGTACAACGTGTTTGACGAAGGTTTTATGTCCCCAAGGGATTGGCTTGGCAGTTTTGCTGCTGTGTCATTATACGTTTGTCGTCGCAAATATCTCAGCATGATTTGATCATTTTATTCATATTTTTAGGAAAGAAACTCCGTCTCTATCGACAACGTTATAAGTATCAAAAACCATAAACGTAAATGTGAAGTTTGTGAAAAACTGCAAAACATCTTTTTCTTAACCATAGCAGGTCATAATAAAATGCGCAACACAGCGCAGTGCACCAGAGAGTTAACACGGGGAATGGTCATTCACAAGAAAACACTGTATTGAGAATTTTAGCATGACTGTTGAATAGTTAGAACACTGTCAGTTAGCAATTCATACTGTACAATACTTTAATTTAAAACCATATAAAATGGTAATCATTAATCTTTTCAATGGGCAAAATGATCAAACTTTCAGATACATAATTTTATAAACATAAAAATTATATTTCTATATGGCACTTCTGGTGCTTTAAATGCATAGAATAGAACTTTAGAGTAACCTGCTATTTATTTTGCTACCACTCAATAGGAATGTTTAAATTTTAAGAAATTATGACTTAAAACAAAAATACGGTATCTGTAAAATTCACAATTTCCTCTCCATTGAAAGGATTGAGAAATGACTCTAGTAATACCTATATATAGCATAATAAAATGAGTTAGATAAGATAGCACTAAAAGTCAGAGTAGTGTAGTCGAAAAGTTCTACTGCACTCAAAACTTTGTCTGCAACCATGACACACATTATGCTCTAACTAACTATGTATTCATATATTTAAAATATTTTTGTCACATTTCATTATTAAGATGCGTAGAAGAAGGCTTGCGCGTCTTGGGGCAAGCCCAGCCAGCTCACCAGGGGGAGGTAGTGTCTCTCCACAGACCCCTGCCAGTCTAGGTGCTTCACCGTCACTCCGGACACAAGCAGCGTCAAGTACACAACCCTCACCATCTGAAACACCCATGTCAGGTAAAACATGCCATTGCTAAGACTATCAATTATTATAACAACAACAACAATGACAATATAACACTTATAAATAAATAATGGTTTATTTATTGAAAGATACACAAGCACAGTTTTGGTTAATAAAAAAACATGCATTTTGCCTAGTCAACTTCAAAAAAGAGAATTAAATTTCAAAGCTTCAGTGACTTCATTCTTACATTCAAGGTACAATTACTAGATGTTCTGATGCCTGATAAGTAAGGTAGGGACTTGGTTAATTTACTGAGACATAGTGTAGTGTATTATATAAGAACCAAACCTTTTATTTTGCAGTAGATCAAAGTGCCTCAGAGACATCCAACATGGAAACAGATGATTCCTCATGTGAAAAGAGGTTTGTTAAATCTTTTTTCATGGGATGCTTATGCTCATTACTTTACTTTAAATCCAGCAACTCTCTTAGGCTCTGTTCACAACATACTAGTAGTTGGTATACACTATCCAATATTGTTGTGAATGTTACAATCTGTTGACAATTTGAAATCAACATTTTTTACTAAAACCATCAATTTCAGGCATGTCTGGAATGACTTTGCTCAAATTCTTATGAGAAGTGTCTATGAGTGCATTCCCATAGATTTAGATTGATCGATCTAGACCGACCTAACTCCCTGGGGGTTCACGCTAAAGTGCTGTCAGCCGAGCGCGCACGGTAGTTAATTACCCCCTTACAGCTTTAAGTAGGAGGGACAGACATTTAAGCCGGCTAAGCTGACCGTAATCTAGTGAGACTCCCCACAGGGATAGATCGATCTAAAATCTGTGGGAATGGGGTCTATGTCATGAATGTGTGTTATTTTCACAGTGCCCAGTCACAAGTTGATGTTGATTCAGGGATAGAGACCAATATGGAAGTTGATGATGAGCCAAGAGCAGAGACAAAAAGGAAAAGAGTAAGCAAATACAAAACCAAATATGTCAAAAAATATTGCCTTTTATAAGTGATTTGAAGGTACCTGTGCCAATGTAGGTGTTATGTCTTGGATAATCTAATAGTGTGAAGTTGTTGGTAGAAATAGACTGCCAAACTTGCCCTTAAAAAGTCTTGATCTTGCTTTGATACAACTGCTTTATCCCAAGTTTCTTCATTCCAGGACATCAGCGTATCTGAAGCCTCGGAGGAACAAACCATAGCTGCTATATGCAGGCTTTTTATAGTGTCGTGGAAGGAGAGGAGTGAGGAAACCCTTTATTTGCCAGACTTAGCAGAATCATGCAGTGGAAGTGAGAATGGTAAGGGGGTGAAAAAAGATGGTGACAGCAGTCAATTTTGGAGTTCCGAAGAGATGATTCATTTTTTTTTTTTTCTTGAGAGCAGGCCAAAAATAATGCATGTACGGATGACATCCATAAAATTAAATCAAAGTGTACACCTAAAGTGTACTTCTCCATGATAAATAGTCCAAGGTGTGCAGTCTTGTGACCATTGTTCAATTGTGCAGTTTACCCATGAAGTAAATCTGACAAAAATGCACACTGAGTCGCCTGCTTAGTTAAGTCACTTGAAGATTTTAAACTAGATCAACAATGCAAGCAGCAATACTGACATGCGGCATAGCTAAAGTTAGTTCTTTCATAGTCAGGAACCAGCAATTTTTTTCGTAACCAGCTCATGGTAATCATTAAATGTGTTGCTGGTATTTCACAGATTAATTAGGTCAGTACATATCTGTAAAGAATCAAATTTATTATTCAATTTCAGGGTATGAAGACTATCAAGATTTGATAAGCCAGATATTGATGGAGGTCCTCACAGTCATGAGCCAACAAAGCAAGAATCCAATGCTAAGTCTCAAACCCCCAAAGCTGGCAGGGTCGCCTTCCAAGTATGGCGCTAGCCCAGGGTATGTATCATGAGTTACTAACTTCAATGCCAATGGTAGGTGGGTGCGTTTTTAAAGAACTCATGACATAAATTGATTTCTGATATATATTTTATATAGAATCTGAGTAAATTATGATGATTTTAAAAAATTTACAGAATTATTAATTTCCTTCTTTCAGTGCTGGTGCTATGTTGCTACATGAAAGACCAACAAGAGATTTCCCCAGACTCAAGTTTCAGCCTGAGGACTCTAAGGAGGTGGAGATGCTCAAGTACCTGCTGGACTGCTTTGACAGGTGTTTAAATGAGGAACGCCTGTCATCAAAGGTAACACGTGTGCTTGTCTGTGATGTCTGTCATGTACGTGACACGGTGTCACTGCATAGTGTCTAGATCACTGTATTGTAGAATTGTTGTCATCTAAGATAGTACAATTTTTGTTGTGTATGTGACATGGTGTGAATTTGGTATCATGGTTGCTGTTTCGTTGTTTGGATTTTTAAATGAAAGAATAAGAGAACAGTTTTGGAGGTAATACCCACATATTTTATAAGCTCTTGATAAAAAGAAAAACAATAATTTAAATAAATGAAAGAAGTTTTCCTGCTATGACACTAATTATGACATTGGATCAGCCAGTTACTTTCAGAGGTTTAAACTGGGCTTAAAGTAAGGTATGAATGATCCCTCTAGCTTCATTTATAAAGAAAATGCTTTAAAATAATTGAATGAACAAATTTTAAAACTGGTCTTTCTGTTCAGCGCTCCAGAGTGCCACCTCTCAGTACGGCCATCGAGGAAACGAGAACTCAGTGTGTCAACATGGCAGCCTTGGTTCTGCAGGGGGTGCTCACACACCCAAGGTAAGAAATAAAGTGTAGACAAAACAACAGTAAGAAGGATAGCAACTCTTCATATGAGATTCAAAACTCCCATATAAATACTTTGTAAATGACACATAGAAATATAATAAAATTCAGTTTACAAGTACCACTGAAAAAAGCCAGTTATTCTGAAATCTGTGCTTGCCATTGGACCAGGTGGACCTTATAAATGGCTACCCTCCATGATAAGCAAGATTATTACACAAAACACTCTGAGAAAAAACAATTGACTAACTTTGAATGTTTGAACTGATTCATTAAGCATTGATGAAATCATCATTTACCCAAAGAGAGTCTGTTTTATGGCACTTTTCCCACCAAAATGAAGAGTGATTGTCCTTTAAAATAAGAGTTAAATTGCATCGTTGCTGTAATAGTAATGGTTATCAAGTGATCATCTTTTTGGAAGAAGACCAAGTGTAATGGTAGCTCTCTGACATGAAGCCATTTTTATTACTTTTCAGAAATAATGAATAAACAATTTCATGTTAAATAGCTAAAAATGGACAGTTTTTGAAAAGAAGTTTTTCAATAAAATATTTTTGTTCAAATATAATGAGTTTTAACCATAAATCCTCCACAGAAGCCCAGCACGGCCTTCTTTACTGCTGCCATTTTTGCTGAACCACAATCTGCCAGCAGGCTTCTTAGAGATGTTGGTTAAACAGACCAGTGGCTGTCAACGGAGCTTTAAACAGGTAGGAAACTGCTTGTCCATCTTCCTCCTGTTTTTCTGTCTGTCTGTTTGTCTGTCTGATCGTCTGTCTGTTTGTAGTGTAATTTTAATTGACTTTCTGTTGCGTGTCTTTGCCATCAGTAGTTTGATAACTGCACTGAGTCAGTGTGTGTGCATGTGTGTTTGTGTATGTATGTGCACGTGTGTTTGTGTGTGTATGTTAATAGCCTGTATGTCTGAATGGGCGAAAGAGAGAGAGAGAGAGAGGGAGAGAGAGAGAAATGAAAAAGCCAGTGATGCTTCTTTTCAAATTCACATTTGTTCATACTTTAGGTGTTTGCGCCCATCCTCCAAGGCCTTTACAACACCATAAAAAGGCTATCGTTTGATGAAGACGACTACAGGCAGCCTATACTGGTGCTTAGACAACTCTGTGATATACAAACTTTTGGAAAACAGAAGCCAGTCTGCAGCTTGGTAGGTTTTGATGTACAATTGAAGAAATAATTGTGTATTTCATTTTTTTTTTTTTTTTTGTGACATTCATTTATGATGTTGTTTTTGGAAAGCTAAAGGCTTTTTTACCATTCCATAATAAGTAAAAATCTTAGGAATTTGGCCCAAAATATAACGCATGATGCGAAAAGGGCCTAAGATATAAAGCATGATGTGAAAAGTCCTTTATTGTGCTCACCATTCATCAGAGGTGAAATTGATGAAGTGATGAAACTGCCTTTGTTGACAATACTTAATGATTGACAATATTATTGATGTCACTGTAGATCATACAACTTGATAACTGGCTGCCTGCTGGTATGACAGAAGCAGAAGGGATGGAGCTGCAGAAACTGGCTTTTTTGGGACCTTTCTTCGCCCTGTCAGTATTCGCAGAAGACAATGTAAGGCAAAAAAAGGAAAGGGTAGTGAATATAGATGACATAGCAGGGGAATAAATAGAATTATACATAAACTCTTTTTCAGCTCAAAATGGTTTTCAATTCTTATGTGCATGGGACTTTTAGTTCATATAAAATTTAAAAACTTAAAATCCTAGAGCAATAAAGATGGCTTGGTGAAGCTGGTAACAGAAAATTTATGAGGGATACCAGAGGGAATGCTCTTGTAGTAAAAAAAAATTATCATGATGCTTAAATGTTGGACCACTTACTTGTTTTTAAACATGTGTAGTTGTTTTTTTTTCATGTTAAATGTAAATGCTGTAAAATATAAACCCACATGTGTGTGACTTTTTCAGACACAGGTTGTTGAAAAATTGTTTGCTAACAAAGAGATGCCGCCTGACAGTATTCGACTTGTTCATCAGAGACTGAGAAGTGAGATGGACTTTGCCAGGGTAAGATATCTCTCTCTCTTCCTCCTTCCATCTCTCTCTCTCTCTCTCTGCATTTATTTGCACACACCATCTTGCATTTCATATTAAAAATCATTAATTTAATAATTGTCTTTCATATTTGTTTCCTTATAATTTACTTTCAGAATGAGCTGTTTGAAATAGTCCACACATTTTTAAGGAATGTGGACACTAGAGATTCCTGTTTGAACTTCATCACTGCTGTAATTCAAAGAAATCTCAAACGAGCACAGATCCAGGTATACTGAAACAAATGGTGTTAATAAGAAATTTGATAATATTTTGTTACTGGCAGCGCCAAGATTTAATTACAGCTTTGGAAGTAACTGGCTGCCCGTAATAACGCCGTGATCACAAGATACCGTAAATAGATTTTTAGATTTTTAAAAAATAGATTTTTCATGTGAACGCAGGCTAAGAAGTCAATATGGTGATAATATGCAACTTTTCTTTTCAGGCTGATGAGCGTCTACTCTGTGGGGAGGGATTAATGCTGAATTTTCTCACTGTGCTACAGAAATTATCCAGACCCATTAAACTAGAGAAGGTGGGTGCTCTGTTCTGTCTTTTGTAAATATGTATGGACAATATTTTTAACTGAAAATTTTTGTGTTGTTAGTTAGGAAGAGCATTGCAATTTTGACATGAAAGAGTGTTGTGTAATATAGTCGTGGTGTTTTTATAGCGAGGTATTTTGAAAGACCAGAAAACAGTTATTCTTTTCTCGGTCACCAAGGTGCAACATTTCCATAACAGTTAACACAGTCCATTAACACTCTCATTTTAGAGATTTTAGTTTTTTGTCTAATTATGTGTCGATTGTCTGATTTAGATGGAAACTGGTGATTTTCAAGTGTAAAAGGAAAATAAAAATTTAGAACTCGAAAAGGTTTATTTCTTATAATATAAATATTTTAATTTTCTTATTAGTTTTAGATTTCAGATTATAACTTAAAAATTAAGGGAGAATTGATGTTAAATTTTTTTGCTATACAAATAGCTTTAAAGTGTATTTTCTCTATTTTTAAACAGGTAGACCCCTTCTATTTGTTCTCCCCTAACGCACGCGTCAATATTTCGGAAGAGGCAAGATTAAAGTGCACCACTCAGGACTCTACACAGTGGATTGAAGAACTGAGTGAGTTAGAAATTAATAATTCAATGAATATAAATGGCATAAACACTGACAGAGCCCATTAGCAATGTGCTTGTATAATTAGCATCAAGTTTTCATTTATCAGGAGCTGTAGAGTCTGGTAGAAAAATTTGCTTCATGATGTTTTGTCACTATGCCATAAACAGACTACAGAGAAAGAGAGCCCACATGTTCAGTTATTATAAATATAAATTTCAGACAAGGACACGTCGCACATTTGGCAGGATGCCAAGTTCCCCACGGAATGTTATTTCCTCACTCTTCACTCTCACCATCTTTCCATCCTTCCCATAACGCGCAAATATCAGCGACGCCTACGAGCCATGCGGGATCTCACACGCATGATAGAAGAACTGGAAAACCACGAGCCACAATGGAAACATCTACCAACAGTTGCCAGTAGGAATAGAGAATTATTGAAACGCTGGAAGTCTCAAGAACGGGTAAAAAACATTGTAGAGTTGATATTATTATATGATAATAACTTAGAAATCATTATTTTCTGGCATTTGCTTACAGACCTCAAATTTATAATTATACATTTAATTACTTTAATAATGTTTTTTCCCCCCATTGTGTTGCATATTGTTTTTAGTTAAAAAAATTTTTTGTCACATGAACCCAGCTCACTTTTAAGAACATGAACTGTAGTTTTCAGGCAGTGCATGCAAAATGTTTTTAAAAGGGTAATTAAATCAGTTTTGTTCATAGTAAGTGAGGTTTTCCCATAAGATATTTGAATTTTAAACAAAAATAAATGCAGAATAAAAAAACTTTGTATCTCCCACATGCTCTCAGAGACTACAGCGCGGCAAGATGTGTGCTGATGCCGCAGTTTTCCAAGAATCTTTGTTAGTCGGCACACTACAGTTCTTCGAGACTCTTGTGCAATATCTACTCAGGCTGGTTTGTCCTTCATATCCAAGGTTTGTCTGTGTGTATAGATCTTTCTCTTTCTCTCTCTCTCTCTCTGAATGTGTGTACAAGTGTGTCTGTGTGTTTAAGTGTACCTCTTTCCTCTGTGAACATTTTTTTCACAAGAACTCTCTTTCTCTCTCTGTTTGACTATGTGTATATGTGTATTTACTTTGTAAATTTATCTAGTTAGAATGATAATATCTTTAAAAACATTAAATTGTATTGCTTCTTTAAAAAAAAGAAAATGTTTTACATATTGTTTTCTTTTAATATTTTTAACCATTCTTTGAAATAAAAAAATTAATAAAAATATTTATTTTTAAAAAAATTTAAGGATCTCCCTGCCACTTCCTCAAGAGGTTCCAATGTTGTTTGCAGCACTGCCAGAATACTATGTGGAGGATTTGGCCGACTTCTTTCTGTTTGTCATACAGTGAGTACAGTTTGCTACTGATGGTCAGATTGGAAAATGCTAGTGTCTTCATTTTCAAGCCTCTGTGTGTATGTGACCATCTCTTAAATATTAACATGTTTTTCATACTATTTCAGATACACGCCCCACATTTTGGAAACTTCACTGACTCATATAAAAGATCTTGCGGATTTCTTGATAGTGTTCATATCAAGTTCCCATTATATCAAAAACCCATATTTGGTGGCAAAACTGATCGAGGTCATGTTTGTACTGAACCCAAACGTGCAGCCGAGAACGGAAAAGACGAGCGACATGGTTCTGAACAACTCCCTGGCTCTGGACAACCTTTCTCCTGCCCTGATGAAGTTTTATACAGGTGAGCGTTTCCAATAGAATGATCTCTCTGCTTTTAAATTTAGAGAAAAGTATACATATCACTTTTATCAGGATGAACCTTTTACCTCTTATCATTTGTTAATTGTATTTGTTGTCATTATTATTATTTTTATTATAATTGTTGTTTTACATTTTGGTACGACAGTTTCTCACATTTAACAGTTACTTATTTGTTCTCTAATAATAATAATAATAATAATAATAATAATAATAATAATAATAATAATAAGATATGTGTATATATGTGTATATTTTCAGATGTGGAGTCAACTGGAGCTAGCAGCGAGTTCTATGATAAGTTTAGCATTCGCTATCACATCAGTATCATCTTTAAGACGTTGTGGGAAAACCCTGCACACAAAGGGAAGCTGATTGAAGAGGCAAAGTGAGAGCTTTTGCTTATTATTATTATTTATTTATTTATTTTTATGAATGTGCATATTCTGAAGTTTTAAAGAAGCACATTGATAAAGAAGTTCTATCATGTGAAAAGTGGTAGTCTTGAAGGTACATTTGCATTAGGTTTGTTAAGTTACTAAGGTTACATTTTTTTTTGAGTAGATGGAATCTCTAAGTTAACAACATGATTTTTTTAAATTTTATAGATGAAATCCCCGAAGTCATAATATTTATTTTCCTTACAGCTCAGGAAATCAAGAATTTTGTTTGTTTGTTTGTTTCTTTTTTTTTCCTAAGAGATAAAATCACAGGCAAGACTAACCAAACATTTCAATTTCTAATCATCTCCAGCTCAGGAAAGCAGTTTGTGAGGTTTGTCAACATGCTGATGAATGACACCACCTTCCTCCTGGACGAGAGTCTGGATACCCTGAAGAGCATCCATGAGGCACAGGAGCTGATGGAGAACAAGGCAGAATGGGGGAAGTTGTCTAGGGTAAGTGCTGGCAGATACTGGAGGGAAGAGGGGGTGGGGGAGGGGGGCAAGAACAAGAAAGGATGGGGGAAGTTGTCTAGGGAAAGTGCTGGCAGGTCCAGGTGTGTGAGGGGGAGTGGAGGGTTTGGGTGCAGGGACAAGAACAGAAGAACAGAAAGAATGGGGAAAATTGTATGAGGTAAGTGCTGGCATATCCGTGGGAAAGAAGGGGGGAGGGGAGCTAGGATGGTTTTTCAAACTCTATCATTGTTGGGGAAGATATGTTTAAACCATACCATTATTGGACATGTATCTTGGACCAGCAGAAAGCAGTGAAAGTTAAATTACTGTTACTTTGTTGGTATTGTGGAGTGTATAAATGATAACCATACCTTTATCTGTTGTGTATCTAGGAGCAGCAGCAAAGCAAGCAACGCCAGTTAGCCCAGGATGAGAGACAGTGCAGATCCTACCTGACGCTCGGCTCAGAGACAGTGGAGATGTTTTACTACCTCACTCGCCAGATACAGATGCCTTTCTTAGTGCCTGTAAGTGTCAGCTTAAACCTCTTGTCCCTTCCTTCACCATCTCTCTCTCTCTCTCTCTCTCTCTCATGTTAATAGTGGGTCAAATTCATGTTTACAGTTACTGTATTCTTTTATACTAAATAGCAGTGGTATACTGTTCAATTTGGCAGAATAGTTCACTAAAACTTGGTGATTTTTCAGAAACTGATATAAATGGTTGCATTTTTAGCCAAAACAGTACAATGCTTAAGGGTGGGTCACTATCTTCCATGACTGATAATGATATGATTATTGAAAACTCCATATTTTACCCTAGAAGAATGCTTGTTGCTAAAGTTGCCTTACATTGTACAGTTTATTTATATTTTTTTAAAGTTTTATTATTTTTATCTTTAGGAATTAGCTGACCGCTTGGCAGCCATGTTGAACTTCAACCTCCAGCAGTTGTGTGGACCAAAGTGTAAAGAATTGAAGGTGAAGAACCCTGACAAGTATGGCTGGGAACCCAAGAAACTTCTGGACAGGCTGACCAGTATTTATCTCCACCTCAACAACTGTGATGCATTTGCTCAGGCTATTGCCAATGATGAGGTATGCACAATTAATGATGAGGTAATACACAACAAATGATGAGGTATTATGCAATAAATAATGAGGTAATGCACAACAAATGATGTGGTAATACACAACAAATGATGAGGTAATACACAACAAATGCTGTATGAATATATTATAGACTCGACCAAAGAAGTTGGGAATTGTTGAAGGTTGTATAAAACAGTTATTACATTATGTATATTGAATTTATGAAAAGGTACTAAACAGGCATTGACGGGTAGAATAAGAAAGAGAGAGTGTGTGTGTTTGGGGGGGGGGGGGGGAGGAAGACAAGACGGCCCCCACAATATTCATGGGCTATCCATCAAATATGGTCATATCTATCTGCATTCCAGAGATCTTATCGGAAAGAGCTATTTGATGATGCTGTGGCCAGATTAAAGAAGGCCTGTATCAAGACTCATACAGAAATTGCCCAGTTTCAACAGCTGCAGAGTAAGGTGGAGAAGCTGTTGGTGGAGAAACACAAAGAGGAGACAGATTTTGGGGATATTCCAGACGATTTTAGAGGTATTTTGCCAAAAAGTTTTTTGTTTGTTTGTTGTTTTGACAGCTGTTTCCTGAAGGCACTCTGAAAATTAACCCTTCTTTAAAGTATTACTGCATAAGATGCGAAGAAGTATTTTACTGTGTGCATGTTTAATTAAGTTACAACCAAAACAGCACATGTATTTTTTCACCATTCTCAACCAATTGAGAAAAAAGAGTTATTTCCACACAATTTAAAGCCATCTATTGAGGAATATGCTAACACAGTGCTGCCGTCTATTGTAGATCCGCTGATGGACACCCTGATGACAGACCCTGTGATACTGCCCAGTGGGACTGTCATGGATAGGCCTATTATACAGCGCCATCTATTGAACTCCAGCACAGATCCCTTCAACAGGCAGCATTTGACAGAGGAGATGCTGATACCAGGTAAAGAGGGATTTCTTTCGGAAGTCTATTATATTTGACATCAAACTTACCTGGAAATGAAAATTTCCAAGATGGAATATTATGATGATATTAATAATGAGTATAATGATAATAATAATGATAATATGACAAAAGTTGTGCTTATCACAGTTTTCATTATGAAGGGGTGTTCGCTACAAGAAGCAGATGTCGCGTCTCCCACACTTCTGTTTATTAAGCAGTTACCTACTGTGTCATTCTGACTCGATTTTGAAAAAATGCCCCTGCTCCCATCACTTCACTTTATGATTTATTTTGCAAAAATATATTTTTTTTCTGCTTTTTCAATTGTTGACATAATGAATCATTTCATTACAGCAACAGATCTGAAAAAGCGCATCGAACAGTGGAAAAGAGAGAAAACAAAGAAGTGACTGAAGAAAAACAGAACACAACATCTGGTTTAACATATCAATTAACAATATATACAGACACATCTGTGTCTGTACATAAAAAACAGACCCTCAAAAAATAACACGGATATGGAGTATTCCAGTCTTTCCTGGAAAATAACTGTTATCCCTAGTTGAACTTCTACCATATATAAAAAAAACTGGTATTTTTCTGCAAGCAAGAATATTTTGGAATTCTCAACCTTTTCAATAACAAGCTGAGGAAAGCTGAAAGTTTTACTTATCTATTATGATGCAGTTTATATGTATTTATTATTTTGTCCTTCAAGGGAAAATCTTTTTAGTTGCTAAAGAAGGCCAGTATCACTCAGTTATTATTTGTAATACTTAACAAACCCCCATTTATTCCGTCTCTTAAGTATACAATTCAAAGATACGTGAATATTTTGAGGTAAAAATAAAATGCTTTTTTGTTTTCAAGTTTGGGAGGTGGGAGGGGGGTGGGTGGGTTGAAAGAAAACATAAAATAAAACAGTTCTCCTGTTCTCCTTTCTAGTGTTCAAGAAATAAGGTTCCTTTTTGGTCACATAATCATTTATGTTGGAATGATGGTAAAGAGCATTGGGCAGGTTATAAGGGTGCTTATGGTCCAGTGTTACAATGAAGGTATTTCTGGACTGATTACAGATTTTCAAAAGTTTTGATGGTGGGACACCACATCATTGTCGACCTGGACGAGGCTGTGGTAGGGTAGTAAACCACATGCCTTGCCGTATTCAGGGGTTTTGTCCCAGGTGGTTTGTACCTAGTTTTATTACTGATATTATAGCGATTAAAAAAGTCAATCCCTTGGAATGGACCATTTGAGCGAGGGGAACACATTATGGCAAGTCTTTCATTTTTGGAGTCTGAAAGATATGTATTAAGAAAGTCCACTTTTTGTGCTTTTGACTTTTTGGCCAATATTCAGTCATTAATTGCACATAGCCAATTTGCACATATGATAGGTTTCCTCCCTTTTCTGTTTCTGTACAACTTTGATATTCACCAAGTGAACCCACTGGTTCTCTCTGTCTATTCAAGCAAATACATCTGTCCAGACTGCTTTGTACCATGTTGTTTCTCTGGATTATCAGCTGGTTGTTTCACAAGTTCAAAGAGTAAGTCAAGAATTTGTAATATGTATTATAGGAGTTTTAAAGATGAAGCCTTTATTCAATGTTTCTGTGGGAATAAAAATATCTCAATTGACCCAATTGTTTTTCGTTGGTTGGTTTATTGAGTGGTAGAAAAAAAATTGCCAGTGGCACAAGAAACAAGTACCATTTCTTCAAGCTAGAGAATTCTGTTTTATTATGGTAATCTTATTACCCTCCACACAAAAGAGAGATGATTTCTTATAGCCAACTGCTAAAGTTTCTAGCACAATAAATAAATCACAAATAACCAAAGTTAAACAGCTACAAAGTTCCTAAGTACAAAAGTCCTTGATGTTTGCATTGTTAACAACACTGCGGACCTTCACACAGCGCAGTTAACAACAAGCTTCCAAAAACTCCACGGCTTTCAACAGTCCAGTCATATCTGCCCTCCTCAGCAGGGACCTCTTCAACTGCTGCCTACAGTTCATGTGGGAACAGAATGACCTCCCCGGGCTGAAAACGACCTCAGCAGTCAAGGTCAGAAGCCAGGTCATGAGGATCCCCCTTTGCAGATTGTTCTGGTTTTGGTTGCCCCCAGAGGTCAGGACAGACCAGCCCAGTGGGAGCAGGTGCTCTTGCCAGAGATATAAATGGAGAAGGTTGGCTATGGTGTCTGCTTCAGGCCTCTACGAATAATAATATCATGATGATATTAATAAAATGAGACAAAATCAGAAAATTTTTACTACAAACAATTGTGGGAAATAGAATTCACTAGAATCCAATAGTTTTCACTAGAATTAAACATATTTCATGTTTTGCATTACAAGTCAAACATTAAGCGTGTTACTGATTTTGCTCACATTTGTGCCATAAAAAATTCTTTTTTTACACTCTGTTCCACAAAGCAATCATTAAAAAAAAAATTGAACACAAATTGCACACTTTTTTCCCCCCATTTGCTAAAAGTCTATTTGCTAATTAAAAAAATAATTTTCAAGAAGAATCTTTACCTCATTTGGATCCCTCATCAGCATACTATATACAGCCATCTTTATGAGGACTGGGATGTTATCTGTGAATTAGAAGTCAAAATGATATCAGTCATAAAATTTAACTTCACCTTAAATTGCATTATTTTCCCCACAAATCGGAAAGAGTCCCAGTTAACTAAAACTATATAAAGAAAAGCAATAAAGCATCTTTTTAAACATCTACTTGAAGATACTTTAAACTACTTTTCTCGGGCAAAACTGGGTTTCACTTTAGCAGAGGGAAGATATAAACACTACTGCTGCCTGCTCTTAATTCACATTCCAGTGAATGACTTAACTGTCAAATAGTACAAAAATCTTTAAAGTCTAAGTCTACAGTGACTGTCAACAGAATATTTCTTTTCTACCTGGCAAACAAGGCAAATCCTCCTCCTTATAGAACCTGCTGTCTAGGCCTTGGCCATGAAACGGGTTGGTCAGCCCAAAGATTTGGAAGGCCAGTGTGCCAACTGCCCAGAGGTCTGCCTTCCTGTAGTCAAGGTAACTGCACTGACCAGGGGAGGCACAGGCTATCTGAAACCCAGGGACAGTAGGGTTGAGTGAGGTCTTCAGGAAAAATAATACTTTTGACCTCTCTAAGGTTAAATTTGTGTTGGTTACTTTTAAGGAATTTCTGTTTCAAGTTATTTTTTCAGATGAAGAAACCAATTTATGCCTGAACTCTCTCTCTCTTTCTCTCTCTCGCACACACACACACACACACCTGTTAAAATCTCACACCAGCAAGTTCAAGAACATACTAGTAAGCATGCACGCACTTGCTGACGTGATCATGTATGAAGGTAAACACACACACACACACACAGACACATACCTCAGGAGCCATAAGAGCTGGGTTTCCACCCTTCCCTACTTCTGATGTCCAGTAGGGGATGACCAGCCCATTCTCTTGGTCACACAAACAGTTCCCAAAGTCTGTGACAACCACCTGCGGAGAGGAATCTGGCAAAACAAAATAAATAAATAAATAAATAAATAAATAAATAAATAAATAAATATGAATAAATGAATATGAATAAATGAATAAAGAACTGAGAGATCAGCTCTCTTGTCACTAAATATTTTTTTTAAAAAACAAACAAACAAACAAAAAAAAAAAACTTTTCAGGTCAACTCACCTCTGTTGTCCTGAAGGTCAACCAGGATGTTATTGGCCTTAAGGTCACGGTGGGCAATCCCATGCCTGCCCATGTGTACCACTGCCTCCAGGAGCTGTGCCAGTACCAGGATCCTGGTCTCCAGGGAGGGGCTGTGAGTGGTGAGGTATTCCTCCAGGGTACAGGAGTATCTGGGGAAACGGTGAGCATGAGGATTTAAGATAACGTAGACTTGTATCACTATTATTATTATATTCTTATTCTGATTTCAGGTACCAACTACACTACCATCCCTCTCTCTCTCTCTCTCTATCTCTCTCTCTCGTTTTTGTTATTAATAATACAAATGCAACAGGGAACATGTCCAGTGTTACTGAAATTTCAGACCAGTAGATTTTAGGAAAATGGTGGTCTGAATGGCCAATACGCTGAAAAGTTTTTGCACAGACAGTTCACAGGTTTTTAAGTTGTCCCTCTTGCAAAACATTCCCCCTTCTTCTTCCCCAAGTGGGTTCTATTGCCGCCTACCTTTTCATCACCAGATACATGGTCATATTCCTGCCGCAGCCTTCTGGGTTGATTCTCTGGGGTAGAGGGCACGGGAATTCCTTCAAACAATCCTTGAGCTCTAAAACATCTCCAACAAACACCTGTCTCATGTCCACAATGTTGGGGTGAGGGGGAAGTTTCATTTTCTTTTTCACACGGTTCCTTTAAGTCCAAGATGATGACATATATATAGAAGTTTTAAAAAGAAAATAACAGTTATACTTACTATTTATCAATAAGACTGTTATCTTATATTTCTCAAAATGCAAAGGTTTTGACATATTAATGGTATTAATAATACTTGTGCAATGATTGAAGGCAGAAAATCAGTCGCCAGACTATCATAAAAGATATTTTGCCAAAACTGCATCTCAAGCTACCAACTTTTTTATATTTCCATATAAACCACACTCATTCTCCCACATATCCATCTGAACCTACCCATTCTCCCACATATCCATCTGAACCTACCCATTCTCCCACATATCCATCTGAACCTACCCATTCTCCCACATATCCATGTCGGTGTTGGAAGCAGCCATCTTGGCAGGCACCATTTCTTTGCTCATCTCTCTGAGGATCAGCTCTGCGTTGGATGCCACATGATAGTTGAACATGACTTTCACAGCCAAGTTGCAGTCAGCTGATGTGTTGTTATCTGAAATCAGTAATCCACAGCAACAACTTTAGAAGAAAAGAAAGCCAAGTTTACACCTGACCAGGAATAAAGTTAACCTCTTAAAAATATCCACAAAACGATCCAAACTTAGTTAGAGTTCTCTGGGTAAAATAACCACCACACAAAGAAGTGGTGCACTGCTTATGACGGGTGCACTGCATTAAATGGATTTTAAAACAAATATTTTTTCAAGTAACGGAAAATTTCGCTCAGCACTCGATGAATGTTTCATATGCCTGTATAACTCTGGTCACTGACCCTTGAACTCCTTTCCCATATATTCCAATAACTTGATGCATTAACTACCTTGGTGATTCAAGCCCTGTGTGCCTGATTCCAGGTCATCATCACTACAAAAACTGAAGTCAGCTTCATCACCTGATGACATCACCTCTGAGGACTGTTCTGATTGGCTAATCTCAGTAACCTTGACCTGGT